AGAGAAGAGGGGGAGAGAGGGAGCACGATTTCCTCGTTCATCACATCCCCGCCCGATAAATCAGTACACTTTGCGGTTCCCCATCGCGTTAGAACGGTTCATAAGCAGCATACCGCATCCCTGGGGTGCGGTTATCTTCGTATGTACCGGGTGTGCATTATCTCGGTCGACGTATAAATATAGCGGGGCGCAGGATCTCGGAGGACGCGTGTAACAGGCTGTGAAAACGAGCGGGCAACGTTTCGCGTGTGGAGGGTAGGAATGGCATCATCCCTCCGCGGCAGGGGAGGTGGGAGTGGTCGTCGAGTGTTTATAAACGGGATTAGGGGAATCATCGATGGTGTCTCGCAGGCAGGGGTGTGTCTGTCGATCGAGGGAAGGAGGAAGTGCTGCACTTTCGTCGATGCACGACAGCCCTACCCGTCGGATACTTTCAATCAGCTCGATTGATCGCGTAGTTATACGGGTTCGCGCGTCCCGTCGATCGTATTTATTATTCTCGTCCCCACTCCTCGATACGACGCGTTACGCCGATTGTTTTGGTTCGAAACGCGCTCGATTGTATTGTATTATATATACTTTGCCTCGAGACGCGGGGTGCCTTCTATCGAATCGAACCGCGATTTTTTTATTCGACGTCTCCGCTTTTTTTCTTTTTTTTTTTTCTATCTCGTATAAAAATTTCGTACGAATGTAAATAATAAATTATGGAATGTTAATCGAATTATTAATAATAAATCGATGGAACTGTATTAAAATTCAACACCCAATCCCGATGAAAATGAATACCGCGAAGAAGCGTTGCAACGCGTTCGAAGAAGACGTCTTTTAGTCCACAATTTATAAACGTTTATCTAAAAAAAAAAAGAAGAAGAAGAAGAAGAAAAAAAAAAGAAAACTGGTGTAGACTTCCACGGATAAAGTTGCGCGATGCTCGTCCGGACGCGCATGGTTACGCGCAGGTTTCGCTTCTGCTCTAGAAAATATCGCGAGCCTCTCGAAAAAGTGGCGATACACGGAAAAAGAGAAGGGGGAAAAGCGGGGAATTTGCACGCGAGGTTGCATGTGGATCGAGCGAGGTGGGCGGGTCCGCGAGCTGGCCACGCCCCTCGCTTCCCCTCTATGGGCGATGTGGAGGGGAGGCGCTTATCGCGATTGGCCGGCAACCGGTTCGCGAGGTCGTACCAGCATTAATTATTCTAAATAAGTCGTCGCCCCTGCGGCGGCTGATTATAGAGTTTGCAGTGCCATAAATAGAACCCGTTTACAAATCGCGTTCGAGGAATAATGATCGTCGCTGCAAGATCCCGCGTCTCTCATTCTTCCTTTTTCAACCCGAACGAAAAACCCAATCAATCCCTGACGTACGAGACGTCGCGATTGGTCTCGCCCTAGGCATTTTCTCTTTTCGACCACCGTGCCCCTTCGAGTGTCCGCATGCGAGTACGTGTCCTAACGAACGAATTAACCACGCCTGGCCACACTCCAATCCGATACCGTTCTTGTTCGAATACATTTGAACGGTAATCGGCCCAGAGACGGATGACAGTGTCAAGCTTCGGGGTGGATAAACCATTGGCCCCGTTCTTCTTTTTACAAATCTCGTCCGAATCGTGGGGAGGTATCTCTCGAATGAATTTAGAGCTGGTCTCTGGTTTTTTGTCCTCGATGGATGGCCAAGCTTTACTGGACTGGACTGGAAATATGTAACATGTTTCTCGAGGGAGGAAATGAAATTATACACTCTCGTGTTACAGGTAATAACGTGGATAGCATGACGCATCTCTTAGATACGAGTTTTTGTGGTTTTATTAGATTCTTCTGCGAAGCAAAATGGATTATGTAAACTCGAATCGAAGCCTTGGAGCGATAGAGCGCAATTTTTCACGCGAAATTCGATTTGCCCGCGGCCGAATCTTTGGATCAATCGTTAAATCAATTTATCGGGATCGATCTTTTTTTTTTCTTCCTCGATAAATAACGGTGGAGCACGAGGCTTTAAACGAGGCTGAAGGAGGATCATCGTTGAAAACTAGTTCAGAGGACTATCCCCACCAATCGAAAGTGTTCGAACTGGAAAGCGGAGTAGAGTTCTGTTCTCAGACGAAGCCGCTCTTGATGGATAGACACGTTATGGTTATTTATAGCGGCTATCTCTATTATTGTTCTTATACGAATCTAACCAGGAACTAATGATTCCTTTGTGGTTCACGTAGCAGCTGGTATATATCTAGGTGTGGTCATTAATAAAACCGTACACTCCAGCTACGTGTTGCTACCTTTTCTTTTTTTTTTTTTTTTTTTCGCAAAAACTTCAGCTTGCCGGAACAAAGGAATTGCCTTCCGTTCGCTCCAACGTCCGATCCAACTATGGTTAGAAGAAATATAATTTTGAAAGTCACGGATGAAAACGTGTTATGCTCGTAAACATGTTCACGGAGAACAGGTGTTGTGTAACGTAGAAAATTTTATGGACATGTAAAGAGTCGAGTTTTCGCGATTATACTATTCCCTCGTTCCGTTGTAATCGAGACTCAACGATTATGATCATTATCTTCGCTAGAATTGCCCATTATACTTGCCTGCTATATCTTGCAAAACGTTCAATTCCACGCTCTTTCCACTAATCACGTTTATTCCTTGAATTAACGTTCCTATTTTGTCCAAGTACCACGATCTCCATTATATACCTCCGGCATAAAGGATTGTTTTTAATCCAGCTGCGAGTTGCTGCTTCAATTTTCGAATTTTCATTAATTACCGGCCGATAATATATTAGTTTGCACGTGACTCACTGTAGATATCGCGATACACGTTTTGTTACAGGCTTTAATTGGCAGGATTTTAATGACGGCTCCTTATAAGTCTCGCGTGCTCCTAATACGTAGGTTCGTTCTTTCCATGTCGTGAGCAAATAACGCTTCCACCGAAGAAGAGAATCTCATGCGATTAGACGTTAAAAGGGTTAATGACTGTAATTTTCTCTTTACTGGTTAATGGCCGAGTGTGTCGTCGCTGTTTCTAATGAAGTTAATTACGCCTTTCGAGTGTCCACAACATGTATCAGAATCATAACGATTTAAGATCGCTTCGAAGATAAAGGTTCGTTCACCGGTAATAAGAGTTATAGGTAGGGGGAAACAACCCCTTTCGCGTCGCGGAACACAGGTATTCGCGATTGAGATCGAGCAAGCTGAGAACTTTAGCGTTTTATCAGATGCGATAGAAATAGAAGAAGAGAAAGATATCCGTGGGGACGAAAGAAAAAGTGAGTCGTAATGGATTGATGCAAATTGAACGATGAACCGAATACTTGTTTACCGAATACTTGTTTCGAACGAACAATCGATTGACGCGAAGGGGAAAAGAGGAACGGGAGAAGAAACGGAGACGAGCGGTAGGCTGTGTGGATCGGCATCTGGCCACGGATAATATATTTGTTCGTTAACCGTCACGGGGCTCCACCTTAAAAAGAGGGAGGGAGGGGGGGGGCAACTGGTGAGAGGTGGTTGCTCGGTAAACGTGGATGCTCTGGTATAAATTTTTGTATAAAGCGATTTGAACGTCGAACGATAAAATTCACGTCAGTGAGAGAACGCTTGTCGACTCGAAGAAATGAATTAGCTGCCTCCGGATGGAAATCTAGGTGGGGAGGAACAAAAGTATGGAGTAGTGGATAACGAAAAGTGGGAGGGGAGGTGACGTGGGCGTGGCCTGTCCGGGGAGGGGCAAGATTGTGGGCGAGATCTTCGTCCCAGCTGGTGGTGGGGGAACGAAACGGGGCGGGGAAAGGCTGGCGTTTCTACCGACACTCGCAGTGGCGCGGATATCTTCGTTTTTTGGAACGATATTGCCAAATTACTTGGAAGCATTTGCGAGTATTCCTGAGTAGTCGTATCGTAACGAGCCATATTTATCTTCTAATCTTGCAATTAAAGTTTCCTCTTAGTTGTTTCAAAAAAAATTCTTTAAAGAAAAAAAAAAAAAAAAAAAAAAAAAGTGAAATATCCCATGCCTATCTCGAGCAAAGATGCAATCAGTTTGTATAATCCTTTCCAAAAATGGTCGGGTATTTCCTACTAAGGAAAATCGTGTCTTCAAAAAAAAAAAACTTGACAACATATTTTTCCCAAAACAGCGATACGTAGAAGGAGAAGAAAAAAAAGAAAAAAGTTATAAGTAAGTAAGACAAAAATCTGGTCGACGTTGAAACGAGACTGGAACGATGCAGTAGCATCGATCGTAGTAAACTCTAACTCCAGCCCCCTACTCTCCGTGCCACTGGTGGTGGGGGAAGTGAACGGAGGGGAGTAGGGTAGACTTTACGCCAGTGGGCGGAGCCTATGACTGAAGAGTTAATAGAGATACAATCGAGGGTGTCTAGTGCACTGCACTCCAGACTGGGGCGTAGGAGGAGTGAAGGGGCGAGGGGGACGGAGGGGAAAGCGGTAAGTAGGGACCACAGGTCCCCTAGTTTAGACATCACTGAGCGACGGATGGACAGCCAGTCAGACCCGTCACAGCACTCGCTCGAGTCCTCGGAAACCTCGAGAAAAGCCAATACTAAGGAGACTTCTCGCTCTTGGAAGTGATCCAGAGTCGAACCGTTAATCTCGCTTCGGGCGATACGAGCATTAAATGCGACGATGTTTCGCGGTTAAAAGAGGTTGCCACGTGAGCGATACCATCCCCTGGCAAATATTACGCAATACGCGGGAAAAAGGACATTTGAAACTTTCTGCCCGTGACACGAGCTGTCAACGAAGCAACGGTCTGTGTCGATGGAAGAACAGTGAAGAAGTGACACGTGCAAGTGAACATTTCGAGCGAAACATTCGAGATAGAATAAAATATATCAAATTGTGAATCAGTGTCCCAAATTTAGTGAACATTCGATAGACTAGATAGACTACACGTGACGAATGTGATTTCGCGCATATATTTTTCACAAATATGACAATAAAGACACCTTAGTCGAAACTCGATCATCCCTTCCAATCACGAGAATCACGAGTGAAGTTTTTATTTATCATTGGCAAGCGTGCAGACGATTAAGAAGATCGAAAAATGAGCGTAGCTCTCGTAACAATGGATTCCGCGTACGGCCTTCGACTTGGGATCGGCAGCCACCATCACCACCATCACCATCACCATCACCGGGTACGTTCACCCGAGAGTCACGTGATCCCTCGCCAACAGGATCAGCAGCAGGATCACAAAGATGATATCGAAACGCCGTTAAGATTCAGCGTGGTAAATATCCTGAGACCTGATTTCGGCCGGGAAGCGATTCTAAATACGAAAGCCCCGAAACAGACCGCTCTGTCGGTGTCCGGACACCCGACCACGACGATTCCAGTCCCGATTCCACGTCACAGCCCTCTTTCTCTACCACGTGATTTGAGCCTGTCATCGAACCGATTATCCCCGACAAGGCCGCAACCCAACAGTTTCTCGGTGCACAGAGACAGGGATTTGTTTTCGTCCCACTGCGGACTCACGTCACCTCTTCAGAGGAACAGCAACGGTCTCAGCAGAAGCGGAAGTCTCGAGAGTTTAGCGAGCAGTAGGAGTTCCGTCACCGGAAGCTCGGTAACCGGGGCACCTTCCTTGGGCTCCACATCCTCCACCATAGGCAGCGACTCTTTGAGCGGAGACAGCACGTCCGGAAGCACGTCTAATACCGCTACCAATCAAACCGGGCTCAACGGCCAGAGTCCTTGGCCCGCGTGGGTTTATTGTACCAGATACTCGGACAGGCCATCTTCCGGTAGGTTTCCAGTTATGTTAAATAAATTTTTTTTTTTTTACCGGTGTAAGTATCGAGATGCTTGAATACAATTTTATACAAATTCATCGGATCGTTCGAATTCATTAGCGATAAAGAGAAGAACACTTAACGATATACTGTTATTCGGCTATAAATTAACACGTACACGTATCACGCGCGAATAACATAATAAATATTAATAACCCTAATTTATCGCGAGCCGCGAAACTGATCGATGCTTATACAGGGTGGTCCGCGCGAGATCATTTCCCGGAATGTATCTGTATCTCTCGCCCGGGACAGATATATCTCAGTTAATCGCGTAAAGTATCACGGAAGTCGAGGAACGCAATGCCATAGCTCGCGACTCTCGTACCACTATTTCTCCCTTATTATCGGCTCAATCAATTTACTTACGGCCGACCGTTACATCTGGAAACCAGTTTCTATGTAAATCAAACACGCGTTTTACCGTGGTGGACGCCATCGAAAAATCGCGCGCCCCGCATAAAACTCGCCTAATTACAGCGTCCCCCCCCCCTCGGTATAAAGATTCCACAAAGAAATGGCAACCAGTTTCGCGACCACTTTCCAACGAATGGGATGGAACCGAACGATCCGAACGAACGAGACTAACGTGGCTGCATAGTTTATGTGTAATTGAGAGTTTCGAGCGTACGGGATGAACGCATTACAACTTCGAGGGCACCACCTGCACCCGTTCGCAGAACTTGATTCTCCCTGAACTTATAACCGCCTTATGGGACAACTTATGGTCGCATAAGGCATAGATACGCGACACGTATCCAGTTGAATCGAGGTGGTCCGCGATTCTAACATCCGATCTAATCGTTCGATAATAATTACTAATTATCCAAGTACGTTTCGCTCCACTCTCTCTCTCTCTC